AAATTTAATGAAAATTATTGTTAATGGAGCAAAACATTTAAATGAAATGTTAAAAAGTCAAGAACTTATCATTGATACAAGTGATATTCTTGTTGATGTAGATACATTTATGGAAAGATTAAGAGCTATAGAAGAAATTACAGGAACAACAACAACTGATCTTAAGATTTTAATTTCAACAACAATTAAATCTAACAAAAATGTAACAAAAAATAATGAAGCATCTACACATACATTCTTTTGGATTTGTTTCTTTTTAATGCAATTTTGCACTGTTGTATTGGTCTTAAATTTATTGAAGAAGAAGAGAGATATGAATCAAAGAAAAGCAATTTAAATTTTTTAATTAAATTTTATTTTCATTTAACAGAAATAAATTAAAACATATTTATTTAATTCTTAACATAATAAATGAGAATGGGTTTATTTTAGATACTGTAGATTTAATATTTGTAAAGAAATTTTGTGATAATTCTGGTGAAGTAACTTGAGAAGAATAATACTGTTCTTGTTTATCAATATTGTTTTCAAGAAGTGTATCCTTTTTATAATTATCATCTTTTAAAGAAGGAAATATCTTTTCATCATATTCATTTGACTCAAATATTGGAGATAAAGGTATTGATTGAGAATTAAATAACTTAGAGAGTGTATCTAAGATTAATTGATAATTAACTGTTTTTGAATTACAAATAGATGATTCAAATAATAATGCAAGTGATAATGGAATTAAAGAATGATTAAATAAAGAAAAGGATTTGAACTTTATTTTTAATTGATAAATTTCATGTGGATTTGAAATAGTATCCCATGGTAATATTCCTGTAATATTTTGATAAAAAATATAAAATAAAGGAATTATATCATCAATTGGAATAGATTTCTTTCCTAAATGTTGATTTGGAGATGCAAATTTAAGGCTTCCTTTAAATCCTAACTTTTGATGACAAGAAAAATCTTGATAATATTCTGATAAACCAAAATCAATCAAAATTATATCTCCATCTTGAGATATCATAAAGTTATCAGGTTTTATATCACAATGAAGTATTTGTTTTGAATGGATATATTCAAGAATTTTTATCATTTTATATAATAGTCTAAAAGA